GCCATTCTTTTTGACCAATCATACTTTAGTCTCAGAAACAGGAATTTTTTTAGCTAAGCTAATCAGTAATAGTGTTCACAGCTCACTGTCAAAATTTGGGCCTTCAAATCCATGTGTGTCTAGAATTATCTACGTTTGAAAGTTAAAATGATGACTTGTTTTTTCTTGAGACACTGCCATATCAATTCTCGCTGGCCACGACAGTTTTAAAAGTATGTGGCAGTAAGTATTTTTTCGGTAGTTAAAAGACACTAGAATCCAATTCTCGCTGGCCACGACAGTTTTAAAAGTATGTGGCAGTAAGTATTTTTTTCGGTAGTTAAAAGACACTAGAATCCAATTCTTGCTGACCAAGACATTAAATTCCAAACCTTGATCTATTAATAGCAAAGACTATTGACATCAAATAAAGTCTAATATAAGACTAATTTCCTTCTAGCTCTTCACATAAGGAGGCTAGAAAATGACTATATGAAAATAGAAATTGCTCAAAGCAATCAGAGCTCTCTAGGAAAAAAAATCATTATTAGTAGACCTATATTAACAAGACAAAATATTGTTTGTGTCTTCCTGTATAGGAATATATCTGAATACATGAAATAAATGTTTTACGTCCTATGTTTCTGCACCATGTGGGCTAATGAAGACAGGCAACGCCATGCAGTGTGCAATAAGGCAAATTTTTCCTGGACAGCTGCATAAGCCTGCTCTTTTTCGATTTCCAACTGTCGAGGGATCTTTAACGTGTACAGCCTGTAACACACGGGGCCTCGGTTTATTGTCTCATCCGAACAAATAGACACTTTTTCCATGTCAACCCCTCTTACCTACATCACTGACAGGGGGAAACAGGGTTGAAAAATCTGAAGGTATTATCTCGACCTATGCTAGGATTGAACCCTGGACCTTCAGGTTAGCGAGCAAGCATCTAACTCACTGAGCCACCACTGAAAACTTCTTTACAATCTATTTTACGCAGTTTTGAAATGACTAACAGCTTTTGCGATAACGAAGTTATAAAAACGCTTAGCAACAATATAATTCTGAATATCTTGATGGACTCACTTTTCCATACTAAAATGCGAAACTTGGCTTCGAACATAGTGAAAATTCTCAAAAAGTGTACCCAAAAGTAACGGAGCAACTCTCATAAATAGTGACAAACTGACGATATCCCATTCCAGGAAACGAGTAGCGCCAAATTTATCGAGCTACATGGAGCTCAATCAGCTGGTATGGAAAATATTCACATAAACAAATAAATTTGAACGAAAAAATGAAATTAAGAAAAGACAAAATTGTAAAGTCATTATAAACACATTTTAATCTCCAAGGACCAAAAATTCAAAGATATTTTGATTCAATTTAACGTTCTTCAATCTCTTACACGAGCTCGTGCTTTTTTACGTATTTTATAATTAATATACTTCCTCGTGTGAAAAATTCATTAGCTGCTACCAATGTTTCACCAATATGTTGTTTTAGATTGTGGTTTTTGTTTTGCTGTTCGGATCGTTAGTACTTGGTTTATTTATTCATTAGCTGCTACCAATGTTTCACCAATATGTTGTTTTGCTGTTTGGATCGTTAGTACATGGTTTATTTATTCATTAGCTGCTACCAATGTTTCACCAATATGTTGTTTTGGATTGTGGGTTTTGTTTTGCTGTTCGGATTGTTAGTACTTGGTTTATTTATTCATTAGCTGCTACCAATGTTTCACCAATATGTTGTTTTGCTGTTCGGATCGTTAGTACTTGGTTTATTTATACATTAGCTGCTACCAATGTTTCACCAATATGTGTTTA